GCTGTTACCCTTCCCTTTATAGTTATGACACAGGCCAATATGCCGTTGGCCTTCTTGGCAATGAGGGCACATTGCTGACTCATATCCAGCTTCTTGTCCACTGTAATCCCCAGGTCCTTTTCTGCAGAACTGCTGCTTAGCCAGTCAGTCCCCAGCCTGTAGTGGTGCATGGGATTCTTCCTTCCTAAGTGCAGGACTCTGCACTTGTCCTTGTTGAACCTCATCAGATTTCTTTTGGCCCAATCCTCCAATTTGTCTAGGTCACTCTGGACCTTATCCCTACCCTCCAGCGTATCTACCTCTTCCTCCAGCTTAGTGTCATCTGCAAACATGCTGAGGGTGCAATTCATCCCATCATTCAGATCATTAATAAAGATAATGAACAAAACTGGCCCCAGGACCAACCCGCTTGATACCGTCTGCCAACTAGACATTGAGCCGTTGATCACTACCCATTGAGCCCAACACTCTAGCCAGCTTTCTATCCACCTTATAGTCCATTCATCCAATCCATAGTTTAACTTGCTGGCAAGAATACTGTGGGAGACCGTATCGAAAGCTTTGCTAAAGTCAAGATATATCACATCCACCGCTTTCCCCATATCCACAGAGCCAGTTATCTCATCATAGAAGGCAATCAGGTTGGTCAGGCATGACTTGCCCTTGGTGAATCCATGCTGACTGTTTCTGATCACCTTCCTCTCCTCCAAGTGCTTCAAAATGGATTCCTTGAGGACCTGCTCCATGATTTTGTATCAGAGACTTCCATGAAATGGGAATCTCTGCAACAGACTTCATTGTGAGTCCCAAACTGTAGGCCCTATTTAATTAATCTCCAGGGAAACTTGCTTCCCAAGTTTTGCTTTTATCTCTCCTCCTCCTTCCACATTCTCTGCCCTCTTATACTTTCATCAGTTTAGATCCATTTTCCTTTTGTCAAATCAAAATTTAACTAAACTCCCAAGAAAATGTATATGTACAATATCTTGTTGAGTGAGGAAAGTCCAAGTAACAACCTCCTAGGGTCCTTATTTCTGTGTTGTGAGCCTGGGCATCAGGAGGGGGTTCTTTATTATGTGATTATGAAACAATGGGCAAAACCAGAGCCTATTCAGCAAATACCAGAATGCAGCAATCTGAGATTCTCAGATGAATAGTGCCGTAAACATGCAAAGTGTTGTTGTTATTTTATTACAGTAATGGCTAACTATTAATTTAATTAACAAAAATAAAAACTTTCTTTAGTGACCATTAAGGTGGTGCCAAGGCACAACCCACCCAGCACAACCCTAACAGCCTAGAAATCAGAAGTGAAGGAAAAAACATTCCTTCATTCCTAGCAGCTTTCACATCCTCGACATGGCTGTCAATAACACACTCCAACTCCAGCACTCCATAAGGCTGCCACTTGCACCTCCCATTGAGACCAAACAGCTTTTTTAAAGGATGGTTTTTCATTGTGTGAATTAAATCAACTAGTTTAAATAAATAAATAAATAAATAAATAAATTCTGTTATAAGCAACTGTAAACTTCTTGCAGCAGGAGCAGAAAGCTTTTAACCCAGACCCTATAGAGCTTCAGCACCAACTTCTACTATTTGAGCTATGGCTAGCATCCTATTAAGGTAGTTACTAGAGACAGGCCTGACTCACTCTAACCCTTTAGCTAAACAGTTTTTTATTAGACTGCAGTAGAAAACTGGA